AGTGCATTTTGGGGTGCTTGGCTCAAGAGTAACGCCCAAAACCATACATTTCAAGTCTCAACCTTGTTATGCGGCAAAAATGGACTGCTACACTACACTAAACAGCCCACTAAAATTTGTGTAGCAGCTCTCAAAACAGCCTGCCAAACCTGTAGTGTTAGCACGTTGTTAGTGCAACTACACTACAGCGCTTTTAGACAGCGTAGTGTGCCCTTTTTTGTGGCCCACACACGTAGTGTTAGCGCAGTTGTGGCAGAGTTCCACTGCGCTACCAGGCCGCCGCTACGCTAAGTGTTTGCGGAATTCTGTTACGCTACGCTATGCTAATGCTACCGTTAGAGCAACCGCATCGGTGCGGGTATAACTTCAGGATTAGAGGAGTAGCTTAATCCCGGATTAGTGCTACTCCGGGTCGGCAATCACATCAGTGTGGTGTAAAACTGGGAGTAGCGGGGTCGCGCGCATGTTGAGTGTGCCGATTGGCTCTTAATCCCAGGATTAGCGAGGAGTAACTTTACTCCTGCTTAGCTCAAATCCTACTCCGGGATTAGTTTAGTCCAATTAACTCGGACCCAATGCGGTTGAGGGCTCGGACTAGCTCGGAGTAGTTACACTAATCCGGCCTTAATCCAGTGACCAATGCGGTTGCTCTTAGCGTAGTGGGCCCTATTTTGCACAGTATTGTGTGTCTGATCTCAAGGTTTTTTTCCCAAAAATTCACACCTGGTTTAGGGGTCTCCTGACGCTGGGTCCTCCATATCCCAGTTTTTCCTTTCTGAGCGGATCCACATTGGTTGAGCAGATCAGGTATGTAGGATTAGCAAGCTATATAAGCCAAGGATTAGCAAGGTTTAAATTTGCACCCAGCTACTCTCAAATTGACGCTCTGGACTAGCTTGTTTATTAGGATTTAATTGGTGCCAATATTGGTACATACATAGTCGAGGGGTGGGATTAAGTAGGCTGACCCATCCTGAGCTATTCCACTCACCAATGCAGATGCTCTGAGGGATTTTGTAAAACCAAAAAATAAGTTTATTCTTGCCCCCCCATGATCCAAAGCAGCATTTATCCTTGGGGTAAAATGCAGAAAGCTTGTTATACATCAATTAGGGTGGGGTGTGAATGGCCCTAATCAGTTCAACTTCACATGAATATCCTGCTTGCTGATCTTTGTACAGCTGACAGGTCAGTTACATTGATTTCATGATGTGATGCAAAGCATTGGCTGGACAAATCATGGTCTGCCAAAATCATATTGAAGGATTACCAAAAGTGGTGGAATGTGAACTGTCCTATTTAGCAAATCTCATAAAATTGCACTTACATATACATGCACAGGTCTACTTAGTTGATGTGAGCTCAAAAGTAAAAAAAATGATTGTTGTGAAAACTCCGTAGATTTTTTTTTTTTTTTTTTCAGAGGTTTGCTTTCTTGCTAGTTTGTTTATAGCATGGTTTTTGGTTTGAGATGAGTTGATATGATGATGTCAGAGTGAGCAGTGTTGAAGGAGGACTGGGTTGTCCAATCGATGTGGGCTGCAAGTTGCGGAGGACTAGTGGGTTGATCGATTTCTCCATCTTGTCAAAAAAAAAAAAACAACAACAACCAACAACAACCATCTCACTTCACCATCATCTTCATCACCACATCCTCAAACAACAACAACAACAACAATGCATCCTCAACAACCACAACCACATCCAACTCACTTCCAACCAAACCAACAACAACAACAACAACAACAACAACAGCAACAACAACAACAACAGCAGCAGCAGCAGCAGCAGCAACAACAACAACAGCAACAACAGATTCACTTACCCTTCCCTGCACTCCATCTCCATCCAGTCAATGATACCTTCATCCCAAAACAAATCGTCCTCAATCCAAACGGAGCCAAAGTGAAGATCGGAAGACAAACCAACCAGAAATCGGTACCCAATAGCACCAATGGATTCTTCGACTCAAAAGTACTCAGTCGAATGCATGCTGAGGTTTGGACTGAGAACGGAAAAGTAAGCAGACCACTCACCCAATCACAAAACCATCATCATAGTTGACTTGTGTTTGTGTGTGTGTTTTTGTAGGTATTGATAAGGGATGTCAAGTCTTCAAATGGGACGTTTATTAATGGGGAAAGACTATCAGCCGAGGGCGTAGAATCAGAGGCATTCGAACTCCATTCAGATGACCTCGTCGAATTCGGAATCGATATCATTGCTGATGATAACAAATCGATCGTTCATCACAAAGTGGCTACCAAAGTATTCCTAGTCCTTAATGCTGAAGATGCTGCTGCTGCTACTAGGTATTTAATCTCCCATTTAACATGTTTCTTTTTTTGTAGGATGGAGGGAAGAGGTTCAAAATGAAGTTGATATTGTTTTTGTTATCTAGCTTTTATCGTTCGAACGGGCCCGAACTGTCTCTCAATCGTCGAGGTAGTAGACCAGGGGGTGTATTTGGAGGAGGGGGATTCGATCACGTTCTGAACCGATTACAAGTAAGACAAACCAAAAGATTACAAGAGAAAAAACAAACCAATCCAACATTTTACTTTTTTTTGCGATATTTACAGAGTGAATTAGAGAAATCACGAGCAACAGGACAAGAACTGAACACGTTGAACTCGACGATGAACGAGATCCACGATACATTAGGAGGAGGGAATGGACCGCCGCCGCCGTTACCGCCGCCCTATGGAGGACGGATCCCGCCACTAGTCCAACAACCGCCACCGCGCCAACAACAACAACAGCAACAACAGCATAACCTACTCCAATCACAGCTAGCTGAGACGCAGGCGTCCTTGGCGATGTATGCGGAGAAGATGAAGACGTTGGAGAAGATTATGGGAGAGCACGAGCAGATGAAACGCGAGCTGGGGGAAATCAAGGAGCAGATCGAGCCCTCCCGAGCCGAGCATCCTGATTATCCTCGACCATCCGCCGCCGAATCCGAATCCGAGGATCATGAGATCGGCGGGCGGGTTTCGCCGGTGGCGGCGATGTTGGAGCTGCAGGAAGAATCCGAGCAAGACCAGCGCGGGACCATGCAGACAGATCGGCACGATGATGATGATGATAATGATGATGGGATGAGCACGACGAGCAATGAGACTCTGACCTGGAAACAACACCCCTCGAAGAGCGCCTCTTCAAAGGCTTACTCACACCAACCCAACGGCACAACAACCGCCTCCTCGTCTGTCGGTCATCCGCTCGATCCCAAACAACTCGAGTCGATGATCGAGCAGAACCGGCTCTTGAACGAGAGGATCGAAGCGATCTCGAGCCGCTTAGATGAGTCCGTCAAAGCCGGCCAAAATCTACTCGAACGTCACACCCAATCCGCCGATCTGATCACCAGCCTGGAGCGGGAACTCAAGGAGCTCAAACAAGAGCCCCCTCCTCATCCTCCTCATATTGATCAGGAGGAGAAGAAGGATGAAGGCTCCAAAGACGGTTTGGACCAGTCAATGATCGAGACCATGATCATCCAGAAAGTCGAGCAACAGTGTTCCGTCTGGACCGAGCGTCTCGAGGCTACTTGGAAGGACCGACAAGCCCGCTGGGAGGAGGAACGGAGCGGCCTGCAAAAGATGATCTCGGATCTAGAAGCCAAGCTATCCACCAAGCCTGTCCTCCCACTCCCTTCCTCTTCCTGCTCCTCAACAACAACGACTTCGCAAGCACTAGAAGAAGATCTCAATGCTCATCCACATCCGAAACAAGAAGAAGGGGAAGAGGGGGAAGACTCGAAACCGGAGCGGCTTCCGACCGCCTCGATCTCCAAAAATAGCAGACGCAACCGCAAGAAAAAGGGCTCCTCCCTGTCCAGCTCCCAGCTCGGCTCGTCTTCCTCCGAAGCCCCTCATCATCCGCTGCTCAAGAAACACTCGGCCTCTGCGGCCCTCGTCGATCTCTTCGTCCATCCCCCTTCCCCGCCGTCTGTCTCCAACAACCTCGCCGCCGCTTCCTCCTCCGCTGCACCTCACCCTCCTCCGCTTCCTTCTCCGTCAATCTCATCACCTCCTCCTCCCCCTTCTACTGGCTCCCAATCGGCTGCTCATCTTAAAAACAATCCTCCTCCTCCTTCTTCTTCTTCGCCTTCTTCTAATAAGAATAATCATTCTAATGTACGGTCATTCATCTACGTCCGTTCCTCTCTCTCTCTTCTTCCTTCCTTCCTTCGTTTCTTTCTTTCTTTCTTTCTCAAGAAACCAGACGGATATATATACACTGACTCTGCATTTCTTCCTTCCTTCCTTCCCCCGCCCTTTTTATCTGGATTTGTGGTACTCAAACAAAACGATCGGTCGGTACTGGCAGACCTTCTCCCCCGACCTCAAGTTCCTTTCCGCCGCTGGCGGGGTGGCCTTATTAGGCTTCGTCACTTACGCCTTCGTCAACCACTTCAAAGAATAGATCTTCTCTTCGGGGGGGGGTTCGTTCGGGTTTTGCTCCCGTTGGGCGCTGTGTAGACCACATCTGAGCCCGGCTTTTGTCCGTGCGAGGCGCTCGTTCCCAGTATCCCCTCTCCTCTCCTCTCCTCTCGTTTTTTTGGTTTTTGTTTTTTTGGGGGCTATTGCTTTCCCGACTCGCCCGTCGCCGCCCTAGTTCTTAAGTTTTTTTTTTGTTGTGTATTGTACATCGATCTTCTCTATCTTCTCTATCTATCTACATCCTCTACTATCTGATTATCATTATTCTGGTTCATCTGTTCCTTCGCTCTCATTTTTTCCCCTTATCTTTCCCATTTTTTTTTCATCTTTTTTGGGGGGATGGGATGGGGGGAGTATATATGATGTGCATGGATGGTCAGTGTGTAGATGTGTTTACATATGAAGAGAAAAAAGACAAGGAGAAGAAGAAGGAGTGCCCAAAGCGCGCCCTTTGACAGAGTCCATAAGGCTCGCTTTTCCATGACACATATATTTTACATACACACTTCTCTCGTTCTCTCTCGCGCGCGATCCCTTCTCCGCCTATCATCATCATTCACCATCATCATTCATCATTCATCACAAACAAAGAATCATCATCATCATCGTCATCCGGATCAATCGATGACTTCGTTACCCCATTTCATCGGCTTGCAGTAGTGCATCACGAACCCGGGCCGCCAACAACAACAACATCAAAAACAAGAAGAAGAATACATGAGATATAAAAGCACCAAAAAAATCTTAACATGAGCAAAAAAGGAACCCCCCCCCAAAAAAAAAGATAAATAAGTAAGTGGGTATATATGTGTGTGTAAGAACAAGATCAGTGTGAGATATAAAGAAGTAAATTCAAGGGGAAAGAAAGAAGCGAGCCCAAGAATGACGACGATGATGCAGACGAAAGGGGACACAAACCCAGTGAGTGAGTGAGAGTGATTTGTTTGTTTTTTTTTTCAAGATATAAAAAGGAGTAAGTAAAAGGCAGCGAGAGAGAAGTTAAGAAAGTCAAGCAGCACTATTCGGATGAGTCGGGGTGGGAAAGAGGATTGGATAGCCGGCCGTCCTGGGAAGCGAGCGCCTGACGAAGCCGATGATGGGAAGACGCGGCACCGCCACCGCCAGGATTATGATTCGGATTGGGGTTCATCGGAAGCGGAGGAGGTGCCGAAGACCCGGAGGAGGAGGCCAATTTGAGAATGGCGGCGATCCTGTGACGGAAACAAAAAAGATAAGCCCCAACATGAAAAAAGAGAAAGGGAGAGAAAGGAAAAGGTACCCTTGTAAGGCGATATTAGCCTGTCCATGTGCGCCCTGACTGGGGCCGATGAGAGTGCAATCGGCCGACCCGAGCGAGGCGGCGGCGGCGTCGACGGCAGAGTTGAGCTGCTGCTGCTGCTGCTGAGGGGGCTGAGAAAAGAGGGGAAGAAGAGGAAGATGATGATGGTCGAGCTCGAAGGTGCCGGAGCGATGATGATGGGAAGAATGGTGCGGAGACGGAGGACTGCCGAGACTCCTGGAGAGCATCGGGGTCTCATGGAACGCCTGATGCGAACGGCCAGAAGACTCCCGTTGATGATGCGGTTGGTGATGATGAGGAGGATGGGTCATTGAGACTGCCGATGGAACCGAACTGAAACTCGACATTTGTCGCTCTCGTCGGCTCGCTGAAGCTGGCATCCTCCGTCCTTCTTCTCTAATCGATCCTCCTGCACCTCCTTCTTCCTCTTCCTCTCGTGGGCATATCACCTCATTCAATTCCCCTCCTTGACGCTCCTGATCATACCCATTCTTCTTGATCAACCCTAACTTCATAAACATCTCCTTTCGCTTCACCTCTCTCTCCTCTTCAATCTGCATCAACTTCTTCCTCAACTTGGAAACTTTCGAATGATAATCACTGTCTAATTCCAGGAAAGCTACCAAAAAAAGAAAAACTCTCAAATTCTGCCAACCCTTTTCAAGAGAAACAAAAAAAAGGACTTACCGATCACTTTTTGTTTATCTAATTCTTTCAAGTCGCCATCCAACAGCTTCCCAAGCTCGACTTTAGAATGAGCATGGAACAGAGAATGATCGATGAGAGGATCAGAGCACGTATGAGGGAGTTGAGAAGGAGAAGGTTTGAAATGAGATGATGAAGGAAGATGATGACTACTACTAGTTTTCTGAGACGAATGATCGATTTCTTTGAGACCATCAACCAGAGCATGAGTGGATATCTGATTGGTGAAGGGAGGATGATGATGATCAGAGGAGGCCGAACTGGAGCGACTAATTGAGCGGGAATGTTTTGGATCGATAGCAGTTACTAGTTGACCTTCAACCGACGAGACATGAGCAGCAGATTGATGATGAGGATGATCATGATCATGAGAAGAAGAAGAAGAAGAAGAAGCAGAAGAAGAAGAAGAAGCGATCACGGGTCCATCGGCCGCAGTACTAGGTCGAGTCCGAGCAAGGCCTGTCGATTCAGATTTCATCTCGCCATCTTTCTCTACCACATCATCAGCTTTGGTGTCTATGAAGGAGTTCTGGAGTGATTGGCCAGATGGACCGACTGGTGAAAGAGACCTAGTTGAATCCTGCGTTGCCGATGGTGCGGGATACGCAGGAGTCTCGTGGGATCCGGAAGAGTGCGGTGGCGGGTTGTGATTAAAAGAGACTGCGCTTCGGACGAGATGATGACCAAGACTTGAGGAAGGTCTAAACGGGTCCGAATTCCTGCTATCACTGTAATCATTAGTCGTGTCCACATCATCATACTGGACGATCACTTCGGGGCCATCGGAAGAAGCCGAGCCGCTCAAGGGATTGTAGGTTGAACGCATGGGTGCCATTGAAAGAGCTGCCCCAAAAATCATGTCCCGCTGAAATTCAACTTGCGAGGAAGGTGTACGCATGTCGTAGTTCTCGGGAGGCAAGGGTTTCGATCGATCGATTTGAGAGGTTGGAGTGGCCATCTCCAAATAATCGCCCCCAGCGATCTCTTGATAGTGATCGTTTTGGGTTACAGGAGTAGTTACCATGTCGCGCGGTTGATCGTTAGAGATATTCCGAGATTGTGATGATGAATTACCATTGACATCAACATAGTTAGTCGGCTCAGGGTCCTGGCAAACCGGAACATAAGATTGAGCCGGACTGCTCGATGAAGAAGGACATTCACGGATCTCTTCAGTGACGATATCTGGATCCTTGGTAGGAGCAACTTGAGTGGCGTTTATCACTGGCTCGGATCGGTCTTGGACATCCGGCTAATGATCGAAGTTCAAACGTTAAAAGACGGCATCAAACGGAATATTATATTTCAATTTACTCACCATCCCGTTTTTACTCCCATTGGTCAGGTTATCGAACCCTTCGGCCTTGCGACTATCAGTCACAGGCTGAGTGAGACTGGCTAGACGATTATCAGAAGAGCTTCCTGGGATAGGTGGATCATTAGAAGGACGATCTCCAGAAGCCGCCGAAGTTTGAGTAACATCAAGCCCAAGTTGTCCACCCATCATTTCCTTCTCGATAGCATCGAGCTTTGTGAGTTGGAACTGATAATGTAGTTTATAAGTCTTCAATCGATTGATCTCTTGATGAAGATGGTCGTCAACACTAGCAGGTGTTTTACCCTTAGCGCTCGCCGGATTGTGAGCTTGGAGAGTTGCCGAGCCGATTTGATCATCAATCAGAGCTAAGGCTCGTTCGAAAGCGTGATGGACTTGAGACAACAACTTCATTCGATCTGGATCACTAAGCTTCTCGGCTTGGGTAGTACCTTCATTCATCTTGGGTGTCTCACCCTCAATAAACCCTTGTTCGAGGTCATCAGTCTCCAGGTTCTCCAGAGGTGCCCAACCGAAGACCAATCTCAAGCCGACAAAACCTAAGCCAGCCCAACACTTGGGTTGTAATTTTCCTTCGTTCTTGATTATTTCTCCAATCACTCCCAAACTATCTCGCCATCGCCCTAGTTTCTCTAGATAACGTGCCCACTCGACCTTATATTTAAGGGCATCAGCATGCGTCCGACTGTTGATGATCGCTTTCCTCAGACCGATCGTAGCATTATGGGCTTGTTGGGACTTGGTGGTTTCTCTGGGGTCTGGTAATTTGGCCAATTCAGCTTCTGGAACCCCATGTAACTTGGACCATGCCTTGCCCAAACTGGACCATGCCAATGCGTCGGTATCGTTTATTTGTAAACTAGTCTCTAGATGTCTAATCGCTAACTTTAGTCCGGCTATTCCGACGTTCGATGTCAAATATAGGATCCCCAAGTCTCGGACCAATTGAGGATTTTCTCCGTCTTCTTGAAGTCGAAGTAAGATCTGCTGTTTCTTTTCCAAAAACTTTTGCCAACCAAAAAAAAGACAGAGAGAGTCAATTATCAACCGATTGGTATAAATCATCATAACATGGAAAACTAAATCAAATTACCTCTTCCTTCCTCTTCTTCTCTTGCCTTCTTCGTTCCTGTTTCTGAGCCAAACTTTCGGAAGATTTAAGTTCTTCAGCCCGTCTCTTTTCACGTTTCTCTCTCTTGATTCTACGTTCTTCTTTTCTTTTCATTTTTTCTTCCAACAAGAGATGAGGAGGTTCTTTAGACCCATGAAATTCCGACTTATTGAGAGGGGAGGATTTAGTGGGTGAATCGATTCGATTCAGAGGACATGACATCGACCGAGCCATTTGATTACTAGAACCGGTGCTCGCTCCAGTTCTGATGACTCCCGTGGGAACTAAGCTACTTCCTAGCTTCATCAGTCGAACACTGGATGTGTCTGCCTGCTCTAGTCGTTGGGCCAAAGAGTTACTGGTCGAATCAAGTGATCGCAACGAGTGAGTTGATTTTCTTGTAGAGAGTGACACGAGCGAGCCCACAGTGGTTAACGATCTTTCCGTACGTTCACTACAAAAAAAAACAGCCCGTGAAGGTTAGCAGGGAATTGGCGAAAAAAAAGTAAGGTGGAAGTTACTGACCTCAGTGGGCTTAAGACATGGGACTCAAGACCCCAGCTATTTCCCCAGCGATCCTTGATTCCTCTGCGCTCCTCACCCCCGACGCCAACCAAGCTACCCCTATCAATATCTGTACCACCATTATTCATGGTGAGCGATCTACCGAGAAGGGGCGAACTTGCGGAGCGCAAGGAGAGCGAGTGACGATCGTCGATGCCGGTTTGGTTGCGCCATTCTTCCATCTCAAGCCGGTTGAGCAGGTCGACCGGCAATGGTCGACGGGCGCTGGCCGGAAGGGATAGCGGCGGGTTAGATTTAGTAACTATACCGGTGCGCACTGAGAGTGGGGAGGCTTGCCGCCTGGATGTGATCGATTCAGTGCTAGGTCGGGGATTGATTTGGGTGGGTGGAGGTGCAGCAGGAGCTGATGGATGATGAGATGGGGCCGGAACGGAAACTGTATGAGATTGTTGCGGTTGGGATGAGCTTGGATGCTGGGAGCTTGGTAAGACAACGTCGTCAGAGGATAGTGCTGAATTAGAGATAGTCCTAAGACTGGTTTGTTCATCATTGATCGACTGGGAACAACCTAACGAGTCATTGGCTTCAGCTCTTTGATGTCCAGCATACGAGGTATCCTGGGCAGTAACTGTTGTTTGAACAGGCTTCTGTGTGTTACTGCCATGTTCCACAAACTGCGTAGGGGAATGAGAGGTGGGAGGGTTTAAAGAGTTCTGAGTTTGGTCTGGATCGATTGAAGCCGTCGAATTCTCACTCTTAGTGGTATGCGGATGAGATGAAGTAGATACTTGAGTGTAAGGGTCGGCATGATCGACGTCCGTCTTGGACAAGGATAATTGGGGATTGCTGCGGTTCAAAGAGCGATGGCTGGAGCCTGGCGGGCTAAGCACCTGCCGGATACGCCAGCTATGCTCAGCGGCCATCTCAGCGGTTCGATCCTCTTTGATGGGTGATAGCCCAGAATCGTTGTCTTCATCGCTGCTCTGCCCGTCAGCGAGATTGGGTTGGTATGGCTGTGTGAAATGCTGTGGGTGATACTGACGAACTGGAGAGTCTGAAGGACTGTTTGAGGTAGAGCGAGCCTGAGGGGTGGCTGAGAGAGCCTCTTGAAGATTGATCCTGGCCCGTATGAGTGGATCAGTGATGCTTTGGTGTGTTTTGGTAGGCGGTGTGAGTGGAATTTCCTGAATCCGAGGGGACTGTGAAAACGGTTGGGAATCAGATGGAGGATGGGAGAATGGGGAAAGTGGAATAGGTAGGATATGCGGATGAGGTGAATCCTTAGGTAGATCGATCCCGCCGATCACTGTACCGGGTAAGACGGTTGGAGGCATACAGTTGTTCACGGGTGATTGAAAGTCAGCAGATGTGGGGGTTTGGCCGATGACTTGAACGTCAAGAGGCGACAGATGGAGCAGGGTGCGATGATGATGATGTTGTTGTTGTGAAGGGCCGGCGAGATGAGTAGTGTTGGTATTCTCAGAGTGCCAATCGTTGATACTGGCATGTTCACTAATGATTGTAAGTTCGCCGTTAGGCTCTGTAGTGGCAACGGCTCTGAAGGATGGAACAGGCTGGACCGAGATCCTAGGTCGCGGTAGGGTTTCGGGTGAGGGACTTGAGTGTACATTGCTAGTGAACTGGATGGGCGATAGACTGACAAGGGAGGCAAGATGGCGATCGTCGGATTCTGAGGGGGGGTGGGGGATCTGAGCGGGGTGAATGACGGGGGAGATTGAGAATGAATTAGAGTGTGTGGGTGGATTGGGGGATCCAGGCTGTTGAGAGCTTGTTGCGGTCTCGCGTGCCCATCGTTCGGTCTCTCGCATCTTGATGCTCTTCTTGACGCGCTCCTTGAGGCCAGTTTGAGACTGACGTTGCAGGTTTTCATCGGATAGCTTGCTTGGCCGACTGAGACGAGATGAGGAGGAATATTGATCGGGAGTGGCGATCGGAGCAGGAGGGTGATCATCATTATTATTATTGGAGGAAGAGAGATGATCGAAACGCGAGGGGCTCGAGCGTTCGCTGGGGTGAAGTTGGGCATGGTGGCCGAGAAGTTCGTGGACGGCAGGCATTGGAGCACCGATCAAGCTATGTACGACCAAACCAGTGAAGACGGGTGTCCGGTCGGTATCTTCGTCGGTAGTGAAGCCGTGTTCGACCTCGGAGGTGGCAGTGGATAGAGAGCTTCGACAGACTAAGCTCTTGGAGCGGGTTGAATTGGAGAGTGGTGCGGGTTTCCTTTGAAGTTTGAGAGCCGGTTGATCTCGTGAAGGAAGCTGGACGCGGGGGTTGCAAGGTGAGGGTGTGCGGGAGCAGTGTGAATGATGATCGGCGGATGATTGAGGCGGATGAGGGTGAGGCAGAGTATTGACAGCAGCTGTACTCGAGGGAAATGGGAGAAGGACAAGGAAAACTTGATGAGCTCTCTTTCAGGGAAGGATGAGGTTGCAGTGCTGGGTGGTGTTGAGCGGATACCACTCCAATGATGATGTAATAGGACGTAGTGTTACAGACTGGTATGGAGACGGCGAGTAAGGTTTTGCTCAAAAAAAAAAAAGATGTTTTACTGACAGTTATTAGAAGGATTTGTTGTTGCGAATGGGGTATGCTGATGAGGGGGTGGTGATAGGTTGAAGGGGCGATTGTCTTCCGGGAGGATGGTTGTGGCAGTGCGGTCAAGGGTTGGAGGGGAGGGGTCAGTCGGGTTGGTGGTAATTTTCAGAGCTTGGCTGAATGAAGCCGCCGGTCGGCACTCGGTAGGGGGAGTCAATGGCAAGGGAGATTGGACGAGAGTTGATGCTCGGAGCTTGGGAGAGGATGAGTCTGATTCAGATTCTTGGTAGGGTAACCGAGGCGTGTTGATGGTTGTTGTGGTGAGGATGGGTTGATGTCGGGAGTTGGTGGTCGCGGTATGAGTTGATGGTTGGTTGTTGTGGTGATAATTCTCTTGTTCTTGCTGGCTGTTAATATGAATAGACTGTGAGGATGATGGTGGTGGTGGTGAGAATGGGTTTTGAGTTTGTTGGTTGGTCAGAAGGAGAGGAAGCTGGCAGTAGGAGTCAGTATCAGCTGACAAGTCATAGTCCACTTTACAATGACTTGCAAGCTCCTTGATGACTGTGATGTAGTTTCTTGGGCCATTTTAGTATAATAACAGGATGCCCGACTTTAGGAGAGGATGATTTGAAATGATCTATAGTTTGGCCCCCTGATGTCTATACATATTAATATAGCAGGGTTTTGTAACGTGACCGGGAATTGGACCCCAGGAGGAGTCTGAACTGTGTCCATGTATGGTCATGAACCTGTTTTGAAGAGTGATGGAATCGATCGACCTCCATGAAGCAAAAAAAAGAGAGAGAACTTACATCATCATCCTCGACTGGATCATCGACTTGATTCAGCTTGGCTCTGGGAGGAAGTGGCTGTTGATGAGGATGGTGGTGGGCAGAAGGATCCATATACGCAGGATTGAGCTCTGATTGGAGAGCGAGACGGAACTCAAGAATCGATGAAGGACGGAAAAGATTGAAGGAATCCGAAGTGGATGATGAGTTTGTTTTCTCTTGGGATTCCAGATTCCAGTTCTTCGATCTTCAGCCAAACAACTGTACAACAAGAAAAACCTTATATCTTCCCAATCCGAAAAAAAAAGATTCCTTCCTTTTCCTTCTTCTACAAACAAACAAACAAACAAACGACTTGCAGGAAACTTAACACGATTTTATTTTATGATGGGAATTCTTGGATAAACTGTCTAAAACCGTATAACAGACGGGAGGAAAACGAAACGCAAACACACAATCCGATAGATAACTGATCGATGAAGGTAACTGATCGATGAAGGGGGCCGACGATGAAGATCGCTCGGGCGAAAACCATTGAAGGGGATTCCTGACCTACTAAATGATCATCAGGAGGCTAAAGCCGGCCCAGGGACTCTCAAGACCGCAGCCGAGAGATCCCACAGTCACACACCCACAACTTATTATGAATTGCAATCTCCGACATTGTCGCGGGATGAAAAAGCTCCACAAACACCCCATCATCAAAA